CGGACGACCGTGGCTACTATTCAGGGCCCCGCGGCCGACGACGACGGCGTGCGCGCGCGAAGAAAAAACGAATGTGTCCCGCATGGTATTATTTGACAGGGATGATGGCCCTGGCAGGTGCGCAACCGTTGTCGCAGAAGTTCGAAAAAGTTGCTCGCAAAAGCCCGTTTGACAGAAATGTTTAAAAAGTGTTGGGTTTCCTACGAATCCGCAAGAGCGCGCGGGATGAGATTTTGACATTTTTTTGTTGAAAAACCATTGGTTTTTTGATGTTTTTATGTTAAAATCGCTGCGAACACTAAGGTTTTGGAAGGATTTCGTCTTGCGCGCGCGAATGTCCACTTTACCTTATTTTTTGCAAGGGATTCTTGAAATTTGATTATATTAGAACAAGAAATGTCATTTTCTATTGTTTTTTGCAAGGGAAAGCGGATTACAACAAAACAACCGGATCCTGTACACACCCTCTTTTCTGAGGCTTCCTCACGAAAATGATGAAAATGTAGCTGCGGCCTAGGCGGCGCAGGGGGGGCGCGCACCAGGGGGCCCAACAATAATTATTCTTTAGAATAAATAATGTTCAACAACAACAACAACAATTACTAGCACGTGGGGACACTCCGTTCTCACCAGTGCCAGGGTTTTCATAGGAGGCGGGCAATACCCCCACTTTGTGGGGGGGCCGGTTCAAGCTCTACCAAATTTCCAAACGACTCTTCGCCACCACCCACACCCAGCTTCCCGCCCTATGACGTTCGGACACTTCACTTCGTGGCATGCGGACGACCGTGGCTACTATTCAGGGCCCCGCGGCCGACGACGACGGCGTGCGCGCGCGAAGAAAAAACGAATGTGTCCCGCATGGTATTATTTGACAGGGATGATGGCCCTGGCAGGTGCGCAACCGTTGTTGCAGAAGTTCGAAAAAGTTGCTCGCAAAAGCCCGTTTGACAGAAATGTTTAAAAAGTGTTGGGTTTCCTACGAATCCGCAAGAGCGCGCGGGATGAAATTTTGACATTTGTTTTTTGAAAAACCATTGGTTTTTTATGTTTTTATTAAAAAATCGCTACGAAAACTAAGGTTTTGGAAGGTTTTCGTCTTGCGCGCGCGAGTGTCCACTTTACCTTGTTTTTTGCAAGGGATTCTTGAAGTTTGATTATGTTAGAACAAGAAGTGTCCACTTTACCTTATTTTTTGCAAGGGAAAGCGGGGGACAACAAAACAACCGGATCTGGTACACATCGTTTTGCCTGAGGCTTCCTCACGAAAATGATGAAAACGTGGCTGCGGCCTAGGCGCGGCGGGGGGGCGCGCACCAGGGGCCCCAACAATAATTATTCTTAAGAAGAAATACTGTTCAACAAGAACAACAACAGCAACAGCAACAGCAACAGCAACAGCAACAGCAACAGCAACAGCAACAGCAACAGCAACAGCAACAACAGCAACAACAACAACAACAACAATCATTTTAAGAATGTTCGCCCTTGTTTGATCGAATGTCCAATAACGCGTACTGCCCAAACCCTCCATACCCGCCCTCATCGTTTTCGATCGAACCCCGTTTGGGGGGTACACCTCTTTTCCCGTGCAGGCCGGGCCCCGGCAAGCGGCGGGGCGGTCGCTGACCGTCGGCCTGGCCAGCGGCTGCGCTGATCGGCGGGGCGGCCGCGGACCGTCGACCCGACTCCAAGAGGGACGGACAGGGGACCGACCACGACGACGACGACGTCGACGACGACGGCGACGACGACGACGGCGACAACGACGACGAGCGAAAGCGAGAGCGAGAGAGAACGACAGCAGGGCCACAAGGACATGAAGTAGGCCACGAAGGGCGACAGCGGGGACACGAAGGGAATGCGTACGGGGCCACGAAAAGCGCGAACGAGCGGGGGCCACGAAGGGCAGATAATGCGGGGCCACAGAGGGCAACGACGGGGCCACTGAGGGTAGCAACTGGGCCACGTAGGACAATGAGGGGGCAACAAACGGCGACAGCGGGGCCAAGAAGGGCATGCACATGGGGCCAAAACGGGCGCGAACGAGCGGGGGCCACGAAGGGCATACGTATACTGGGCCGCGGAGGGCAAGGACGGGGCCACTGAGGGAAGCAACGGGGCCACGAAGGGCAGCGATGGGGCCACGAAGGGCAGCAACGGGGCCAGAAATGGCTGCGACGGGGCCACGGGCAGCAACGGGGGCCACGAAGGGCAGCGACGGGGCCAGGAAGGGCTGCGAGGGGGCCACGAAGGGCGACAGCGGGGCCACGAAGGGCAGCGAGGAGGCCACGAGGGGCTGCAACGGGACCACGAAGGGTCGCGAGGGGGCCACGCAGGGCTGCAACGGGGCCACGAAATGCAGCGAGAGATCCCGATTCCTAGGTAATCTGTGAGGGAGTCCCAAACGTGAGCGCGACTCCTGGGTGCCTGGGTGTCGGTAGCGCGGCGCTTGAGCAAATTGCAAGAAATTCCAACGCAAGGGCGCTTTTCTTCAGTAAATTGCAAGCAAATCTCCAGCGAGAGCGCGACTGTAGAGCGCCGGGAGAACGATTCATAAATAAATTGTAAAAAGAATTCCCAAGCGAGAGCGCGATTCCTGAATAGAATGCGAGGAAGTCTCGGGCGGGAGCGGGGGTCCTAGCTAAATTGTGAGGAAGTCTGAGGCGGGAGCCGCTCTTGTTGTAACCCGGGGGCCAGGGGCCCAGTTTGAGCCTCAAGACTTCCCTGATAATTTCCCTGGCGACGTACCCAACCCCTGCGCAATGCGGGGCAGGAGTAGCTTGGGAGACTTGACGAGAAGGCGGCGAAGTGGCATGGACGCCTATACTTCTGCGAGCGGCATTCGGGAGGTTCGCAGGTCCCCAATCAAAGGAAAAACGACGAGTAACTGAGTGAACCCCTGAGTCACTAAGGAAGACGCAAGGTCCAAAAGCAGACTGTAGGCAAGATGCTTGAAACGTGGGCGGGGCAACAACAGCATGACATGGCCGCCCAGGAACGGCGAGGTCCCGCTCAGGTCCGCGCAGTGCCTCACTCTGCTGGACCCATCAGCAGTCTTCGAAAGTGGCGAGCCCACCAACAGCCCTCGAAAGTGGCGACAATTTCGCATATCGCAGCCCCCCAGGGACGGCGAGGTCTCGTTCGTGTCCGCGCGGAGCCTCACTCCGCTGGACCCACCAGCAGCCCTCGAAAGTGGCGACAATGTCGCAGATCGCAGCCCCCCAGGGACGGCGAGGTCTCGCTCGGGCAGCCCTCGAAAGTGGCGACAGGTTCGCAGATCGCAGCCCCCCCAGGGACGGCGAGGTCTCGCTCAGGTCCGCGCGGTGCGTCACCCCGCTGGACCCACCAGCAGCGTTCAAAAGTGGCGACAGTTTCGAAGATCGCAGCCCCCCAGGGATGGGAGGAAGGAAAGTGGAGACCAGTCCCTTATTCAAAATGAATACCCAGCAATCGCAAGTCCAATCCATTGCCATACAATCCTCCTCCCTCCCTCCTCTCACCTCCCCCACACGAGCCAAAGAGGAGAGGGGGGGGGGCTTTCAGCCCCCCCCCCCTTGCAAGGGAGGGAGGGGGGGAGTTTCCAAAGCTCCCCCCCCCCTTTCAAAGAGGGGGGGTGGCTCACCCCAGCTCCATTAAAAGGGGGGGGGTAGCTTGGAAGCCCCCCCTCTTTCCGGCCACGAAAAGAAGGGGAGGGGGGGAGTTTCCGAAGCCCCCCCCCCTTTCAAAAGGGGGGGGTGGCTCACCCCGGCTCAATTAAAGTGAGGGAGGGGGGGGGTAGCTTGGAAGCCCCCCCTCCCTTTTCCGGCCACGAAAAGGGGGGGAGGGGGGGGGGAGCTTCCGAAGCCCCCCCCCCTTTAGCAAGGAAGGGGGGAGGGGGGTAGCTTCAAGCTGGGGCCCCCCTTCTAGTCTGACGGGCCCCACGAGCGCGGTCTATCACAGCTTTCGAGTCAGGTGAACTGCATGAACAGAAACGTGTGGAACTCCGTGCGGCTGTGTTATTTGGCTCGGCGCTGGACTCACTCGGGGGCGGGGCCAGGGGACGTGCCGAATTGAGCAGGCGGGCCACGAAACCTGGGCAATTATCAGGGCCCTGGCCACGATATCCCTCCCTCCCTGGTCCTACCCCCCTGGCATCCGCCGACATGTTTGTTTTGCTTCTATCCGCGGCCCCAGAAGGTTTCAACCCCGTCTCCGGGAGTAGTCTGTTGCCCCGGATTAACTTGTGAAGGCACCCAGGCCTGAAAAGAAACCGAGACATCTAGGGAAAACGCCCGGGTTGATAAAACATATTGTCGGAGATATGGTTATCTTCTTACAGAGGAGCAGGAAAATCCTCGCGGATTCCTTGGATCTGCGCTGGACCTCCTCCCTAGCGCGCGGAGCGTGCCAAGGAGGGCGCCGGAGGCGCTGCCAGAGGAGCCCATCGCGGATCCAAGGAATCCGCGCGGAGCTTCGAAAGTCTATGCTGATGCGGTTTGTCATCCTCGAGAAAAGAAGATTGTCTGAGATCTGGGCCCCCGTCTCAGTCCGCCCCACCCGACGGTATCCCCTCCTCAGGGGGAACGTTAGAGGGGGGACAGGCCCAGGGGGCAACATCGACCTGGAATCGGCGATACATCGCCGATAGATCGGCGATAGGCCCCCGAGAGCAAACCCGCACCGCTCCTGGGCGGGGGAGCCCATCGGGCCCCTATATCGGCGATGCATGGCCGATTGGGGGTCGATGCCTTCCCCCCGAGCCTATCCCCCCTGACTTGCCCTTGGGTTTTCGTGTCATAACGCGGCTCTGTGGCAGCCATTCGGGACGATCCAGGCACCCCCGGAACGCTCTCGGCGAGGCGCAGCTGCTGGAGAGCATCCCGAGGCTGGAAAGCCGCCGGGAACCTACGAAAATGCTTTCAAACACCGTCCCCCTCCTGAGACTATCCCCCCTCAACGTTGCCCCTGATCTCTCCCTCTAGGCGGCGGCACCGCCCAGGGGCGAACGCGGGGGCGTCCTGCTTCTTCGCCCGGACCCAGCTCTTCCCCTCGCGAGGGGGCGCGGGGCCACCGCCTCCTCCTCAGAGCAGGGACCGACCGGCCCGGCAGTCCTACAGGCCTACCACGAAGTACGAGCATAACGAAATAATAGTGCTCTACTATCAAGCACAACTTTCTCAGAACATGAAGCCGATGCATTGAAACAGCATGGGTATCAGCCAGGACAGGCCTAAAAACTTCTCATGCAAAACACAAGGGGTTGGCATGACATGTGTTGGTGGCTCTACAGACAAACCAAGGCGCCTCGCTACTGCTTGACCGCTGGCCTGGACTTGTTCGTCAGCGGCGAGGCGGCGAAATCCGCTCCAGTGAGCAACTAGGTAGGGGCACTAATTAGCGAATTGGCCGGCGTGCAAGGAAGGAGGGGGACGGCCGAGAGGAAAAAGGGAGCGGCCGCTGGCCCGGACATGTGATGTCTTACTTGATTTAAGCGGTTCCCAACGGGGAATGTTTCACCCCGAGTCGTTTGTTGACGGTCTCGGGCCTGACGAAGGCTCCTGGAGGCCGAAGCTGTCAACAAACCTTACGTCAAGGAAGCAGCTGGTGGGCCCATAGGCAAGCCAGGACGCCTCACCACCGCATGGCTTCTCCCCCTCCTCGCCGCTCCCTACTGCGCGGGCGGGGCGGCGGCCCCCCACCCTGCCCACACCCTCTCGGTTCTTGATCGATCACCACGGGAGGTTTTTTCGGGCGTCGCGCCATGGGAGGCGAGTAAGTTGCGAGGCGGGGATACATCCACATCCACCGATTGGGGGGAACCCACATCCTGGGACCCCAGCAGCCAGTGAATATGGATACACGTTGGCCCCAGGGGTGCAGACAATGCATGTATGTATGTGTCAATAGGTATGTAGATATATGTATACACACTAGAACCACTCGCGCTTCGCGCGCTTGTTCTAGGGCAGCCCAAACCAACCTCACAGGATCGGATGAGGATGGACATCATCCCGCAAGGATCGCCACATGGGAGCGTACATCCTGATGGACACTTCAGGAGTCGCTGAATATTCAGGCCCTAAGCCCTAAAAGGTCATGCAGCCCTGAGCAAATCCACCTAGCAGCTGCCCGAATGTAACTGTTAGGAGGCTTCGGGAGGCTCGTGGTCTGTGAACTGTCTTCAGCAGTTTTGAATATCTCCTGGGCGCCTCGAAGGCCCCTCGAACTATCTCGGAGGTGTTTGAACCAGAGTTAGCATTTCGAGGTCTCCTCCCCGAAATGACGCACGAGAAAACCAGCAGGGCTGCAGGAGGTCCGTGAGACGCTCCAAAGAGACACCCGAAGCTTTCAAGAGGCGTTATAGAGAGCCCAGGGAGGCCCACATAAGGTCCCGGGGGCCCAAAACTGCTTCCACGAGGCCTCCAAGAGGTATTCCAAGAAACCCATTAAGTATCCAAGAAGCCTCTGAACCACAACCCAAGCGCGGTCGCATGGTGGGCCTGGCGGCGGCTAGAGAAAACAAATACGTAGATGTCCATGTGTATGTCAAATTGTCACGAATCGGGCACAAGGAGGTTGCCAGATCGCCCGGGATGCTCCTGAGCGGGCCTAAGATGGCTCAAGATGGTTTCCAATTTCGCACAAGAGAAGCCTGGCATTATCGTGAGAGCCTCGCTGGAGGTCTGAGGCCACAGACGCCCCCCGAGGCTCAGAAGAAGGCCTTGAACGTCCCCAGAGAATTGAACCTTGATTCTCCTGCTCCCGCCTCCGTCCGTCCTCCCTCCGACCCCGAATCCGTTCTAAGTTCGGCCTCCGACCCTCTCTGCGGTCCACTCGGACTTGTTTTTCAAACGTTTTACGCTTGCTGGCAGTACCGGGGGGCCGAGAGATAGTCCGAACGACGAAACTGAGGAGACGCATCAGGAGATCGGCAATCTGCAGAAACCCCGTGCGACTCTCTTCCTTCCTCCTACTCCAAAGTCCGTTGGGGGTTACCCTAGTCAGGATTTCGCGGTGCGTCCAGCTGCGGCGATGGAAACTTCCAGAAACGCGCAAAACTCTCCGAAACGCCGACGGCGATCCCCGGTCCTCCCTCTGCCCTCTCCTCCTCCTGGGAGGTGGTGCGACCTGGACAAAAAAAGGCGTGAAGGAGCGACGAGGACGAGGGAAGGGGGAACATGAGGCAGCAGGAGAGAGGGAGGAGCCAAGCAAGGAAAAGGGCGTCAAGCGGGAGACGCCGAAGAACCTTAAGCAATACACGTGTGTATATATATATATACATATATATACACATATATTTACTAGAACCACGCGCGCGCTTCGCGCGCGCTCAGGTTCTAGCTAGGATCGTCACCGTCGTCATCATGAACATCACCATCGCCATCATTCCCCCCGCCAGGGCTAATGTACATCGTTTCTGGATGCTTCTGGCCGGAATACGAAAGGAGTTTCTGTAGTTAGAGTCTCTGGGGGAAGTCGCGGGGCCCCTCAGAATACTTACGAATGCCTCTGACAATCCCCCAGCGTGCCCCACGAGATGGCCAGAGGGTGCCCGAACAGAACCCGAGGACGTCGACGACGGCGGCGATGAAGACGGCGGCGATCGCGGCGACGAAGGTAGCGGCGGTTGCCATGGGTTAGTACCCAATCAGAGCTTGCCTCTGTAAGGGTCCTGGCGGATTAAAAGGTTCGATGAGCTTCGGCAAGATTCCGGCCCCATGCGGCCGGGCCGGGTGCCCGGGTACCCGGGTGCCCGGGTGCCCGGTGCCTGGGTGCCTGGGTGCCCGGTGCCCGGGTGCCGGGGTGCCTGGGGGTGCCCTATCGCCCTATAGCCCTGTAGCCCTATAGCCGTATAGCCCTATAGGACTATAGCCCAATAGCCCTATATCCCTATATCCATCTAGCCCTTCAGCTCTATAGCCCTCTGATCCTATAGCCCTGTAGCCCTATAGCCCCATAGCTCTACAGCCCAACAACCCTATAGCCCAATAGCCGAATAGCCCACATAGCCCTATAGCCCTATGGCCCTAGCCCTATAGCCCTATAGCCCTACAGCCCTATAGCCCTGTAGCCCAATAGCCCTGTAGCCCAAGTCGTTTTCATCCTGAGTCGTTTTCTGACGGTCCCGGGAACCTGCGAGGGGCCCCGGAGGCCGAAAATTAACAAAAACCGCCGTCGTGATTTTTCCAAGACGTCGGAGGTCCAGGTCGTGCTTCCCGCCTCCCCAGACCTCCGACGTCGTAATTTTTGCGACCTCGGGCCCAGGAATCGATTGGGAAAACGCACATGGGAAGGCAAGAAATGATGGACCCATCATTTCGTACCTGTGCCTTGATCAGTGGGACGGGCTTCGCACCGCCGCACATCACAAGACACGCTCGAGCGGATCCAGCCGTGGCGACGTCGGGGACTGCAGAAGGTCGCAAGGACACATAATGTGTAAGGAAGAGAGAGAAAGAGAGAAAGAGAGGGAGAGAGAGACAGACAGACAGAGAGCGAAGGAGAGAGAGAGAGAGAGAGAAAAAAAAAAAGAGAGATGGAGAGAGAGAGAGAGAAACAACAAAAAAACAGAGAGAGAGAGAGAGAGAGGCAGAGAGAGGAAATGGAGAGGAGGCGAGCTTGAGTCAACGAAAGTCGCAGGGAAGGGGGCAGGGGGAAGAAGGCCAGAGAGCGCTGAAGGATACAAATACTGGAACCCTCTTGGGATTTTTTGGGGGGCCTCGTCCGGCCGCTCGCTGGGAGTTTGACGTAGCTTCTCGGGAGCCTCTGAACCTGTCGGAGGCCTCCTGGAAGCAGGTTCGAAGCATTTTGGGGGCCGATTTGGGGCTTCTCGGGGCCTCCTTTGGGCCTCTTGGGGGTCTCCTGGGGCCTCTTGAGGGGCCTCCTTGGGGCCTCCTGGCGGCCTCTTGGGGCGGAAGGCTCGAGCTTGCGGTTCGTGGTCCCCCTCTGGGCCCCCTCTTGGGCCCGTCTTGGGGCCCTCTTGGGCCATCTTGGGCGCCTCTTGGGCCGTCTTGGGGCCCTCTTGGGCTGTCCTGGGGCCCTCTTGGAAGCTTCTTGGGCCGTCTTGGGGCGGTCTTGGGCGCCTCTTGGGCCGTCCTGTAACGTCGGAAAGCCCAAAAGGCAACTTTGTGAAAAATGTACGTTTTACGAAGGGAATGGGCCAATTTTTGCGTCTAGGGGCCCTCTTGGGGCGCATGTTGGAGGCTTCTTGGGGCGTCTTGGGGGCGTCCTTGGACGTCTGGAGGCCATCTTCAGCATCTTGGAGCCCTCTTGGAGGCCACTTGGAAGTTGCTTGGGCCGTCTTGGGCGCTTCTTGGGCCGTCTTGTCTGACCGGGGAGGCCTCCGGCAAGCCCCGACGAGCCTCCGGGCCCCCCGGGGCCCACATTTGTGGTCGGGGTCCCGGCCCCGGGCCCCCGGACCCGGTGCGCCGTTATATGTGTATATATACACCACAAAGAACGGACAGCGAGGGATGGGGCAAACGGAAACACACTCGGGGGCACGCCAAAGCCTGAAACACGAAGGCCACGGAGGATTGGTAGACCTTGAAACAACTATGTCTGTCAAGCTGGGTCATTTGTCCTCTGCGTGGAGCAGGTTCTTCGGCGAGACATGCGAAGGGAGGGAAGAGGAAAAGGAGGGATGAGGATGAGGGATGTGGGAGACGACATCGCATGAGGGAGGCGGAGAGAGGAAGGCGTGAAGGAAGAACGAAGAGGAGGGAGGGAGAAGGGAACATAACGCAGCAAGGAGGAGGGAAGAGGAGAGGAAGGAGAAGGCTGTGGAACGGGAGACGCAAGAGAACCAGGAGCAGGAGAGAGAGAGAGAGAGAGAACAAGGAGAACGGACAACGAGGGATGGGGAAAACGGAAACGCACCCTGGGGAACGGATGGAGGGGGGGCGAACTTGAAAAAAAAAGTTGAGTGAATAGTTTTGTTCATGTTAGCTCTGGAGGCCTCAAGGAGCAGTCAAGGTCGCCCCAAGAGACCTCCACGAGTCCCCCAAGAGCTCAAAAAAAGCCCTCGAGAACCCCAAATCACTGCAAAACCTAACGGCGATATCTGATATTTGTGTT